TCTTTCAAAAAAAAGAAAAAAAAAGTTCTGGATGATAAGAAAGCATGTATCATAGTCTGAGTTTTTTCTTTCTTAATGGCACATGAAATGATGTCTGTTTTACAATCTTGGATTTAATGAAATATGGTGAAAATTTTCAGTCTAAACATCTATGTTGTATAGGGGTAGAGAGCAACATATACTAGACTTCCTGGCAAATTATAGTTAACCATTCTGAATGTTTACATTTATCCCACCTCAGGTCTTGTTGTATGGTGCTGGCCCATTGCCCAAGACTTTATCTCTCCTGATTTCTTTCATTCCTGCAAGGGCCAGAGTCTATTTTCCCAACTTCTGCCTATGTGGCTCATATGCAACTTCCAGAGTTCATTCAACTCTTACTATCACTTCAACTTTAAGCAATTTATGATTACTCTAACAAGTACTTCCCAGTGGCTCCTGGTATTACTCCATAGTAAACTGCTACATGGCCATTGCTGATGAAATGGATTTGTTGTGAAACAAAGGGACAGAAGCAGCAGACAAGAAAATGGTATAAGACTGAATTTTGAAAGAGCCTTACTAGGTGAAGAGGGATTAAACTGGACCTTGTAAAAAAAAAATCTATAAAGGCCTAGAGATATGAAAAGACCTTGTATGTTTGGTATTGCTGAAGCTGAAAATTTGCAGTATGGATTTTACAGTTTTAAGGTCTCCTCCAAACAGTAAGTACAAAATTAAGAATGTAAACTCCATCTTTAAAAAACCTAGGAGACACTGTAACTCCAAATCACTATATATGATAGAAAACAGAAGCAGGAATGGTAAATGACTTAGCAGAGTAGAGGAGGAAGGGATACTGATGGCAAGCAAACCAATTCACCCTGCACAACCCAAAAAAGGTCCAGGTTTGGAGGTACTAGGTACCATAGAAAATGGGCTAGTGTGGAGGATTGAGCATAGGGGGATTGTTTGAAATTTTACAAAGGAAAGAGACCTCCCCACCTACACTCCACAAACTCAAAAAATCATCCCTTCTTCATCCCGCTAAAGACAGGATATTTATTTGATGGTAAAAATAAAAAATGAACCAGGAAAGCACCAATCCCAGGAGATCACACTCAGAGGTTGGTAGAAGACTGAAAATTAAAATAGGTACATTCTTGTATTATTACATTCTGATCAATAAACCCATCAGCCCTACCCAGGTCAAGGTCACAAGAAACCAAGCTTATTACCTCCAGCTCCCAGTCCCCATTGTGGATTAAAGAACCCTTTTCTGGAGTTTAGAAATCCCATCTAACCACATGATCGCCTTATATTGAAGCCCACTAATTGACAAATGCTACTTTCATTTTAAGTCAATTTTACTGATGCATAATTTACATACTCTAAAAATGTACAGATTTAGTGTACAGTTCAATTTGATTTAACAAGAACCATGTAACTACTGCCCTAAAAAAGACAGAACATTTACATCACCCTAAAAATATCCCTCTGAACTTTCCCAATCAATTCCCCTAACCCCCAATATCTGTCAATCACTGATCTGATTCCTATCACTATAGATTAGTTTTGCCAGTTCTAGATCTTCATATGAATGTAATCATAATATATAGATACTTTTCAGTCTGGCCTTTCTCTCAGCACAATGTGGTTTTGAGATTCATCCATATTTCTGCATGTATCAACAGCATATTTCTAAGCAGGTATTCTACTACATGAATATGCCAAAATTTGTCTTATCTATTCACCAGCTGATAGACATTAGGGTTGTTTCTAGTTTAGGCTATTATAAATTAAAGTTGCTATGAACAGGCAAGTAAAAGTCTTTTTGTGGATATGTGTTCATTTCTTTTGGGAAATTAACAATGGAATTATTGAGTCATAATAAGTGTATGTTTAACTTTATAAAAACCTGTAAAACTGTCTTCCAAAATGGTTCTACCATTTTACACTCTCATCAACACTTGAGAGCTCTAGTGGCTCTACATCCTTTTGGATATTTGTCATTTTTTAAATTTTAGCCATTTTAGTGGGTATGACTTTAATTTACATTTCCCTAATGACTAATGATGTTGAGCACTTATTCATAGGCTTATTAGCAATTCATCTGTATCTTTTGTGAAGTGTCTTCAAATCTTCTGGATTGTCTTTGATTACCCAGTTCTAAGAATTCATTTATATATTTTAGATACAGATATTTTCTCTGGTCTGTGGCTTCACTTTCCATTTCCTTAGCAGTAGAGGTTTTAATTTTACTAATTTTTATTAACCCAAATAATCAATTTTTCTTTTATAGTTAATACATTTGTATCCTGTCTTAAAAATCTTTGCTTATGCCAAGGTTATGAAGTTTTTCGCTTAAAGTTTTTTTTTTTGTAGTTCTATATTTCCAACTCTTATGTTTAGCTCTATGATCTACTTTAAATTAATTTTTATGAATGGTATAAGGCTGAGTTTGAAGATCACCCAGCACTATTTATTTATTCAAAAGACTGCTCACTGAGTTACATTGGAACCTTTGTTGAAAAAACAAATGGCCACATATATAAGTTTATTTCTAGATTCTCTACGATCCTGGGATTTTTTATTGGAATTTCAATGAATTTAAATCTCCATTTGGTGATAATAGAGATCTTAATAATATTAAGTCTCTAATCCATGCAGTCTCCATTTATTCAGATGCTCTTTAATTTTTCTCAGCAATGTTTTTGTAGGCCTTTCATTAAATTTATTCCCAAGTATTTTATGTTTTCTGATGCTAATGCAAATGGTATTGCTATTTTATTTGCATTTTCCCTCATGTTTATTGCTGGTATAAAGAAACACAGTTAATTTATGTACACTGTTCTTGTTATTTGGCATTTTGCTAGATTCACTTATTAAGAGTAGTATTTTTTCTTCTTTTGGTAAATACCTTGGGATTTTTTTTTTAAAGACAATCATGTTGTCTGAGAAGAGATAGTTTTACTTTTTTCCTTTCTAATATTTACTGCCTTACTTCTTATTAATTTTTATTAACACACTGGCTAGAATCTCCATAACAATAGTGACTAGAAGAGGTGAGCCATAAAGTATAATGACAGTTGTAGGTTTTGATATCCTTTATAAAGTTGAGAAAGCTCTCTTCTATTTCTTGTTTGTTGAGAGTTTTTAAAAAATCTCATACGGTTGTTTAATTTTGTCAAATACCTATTCTGCATCGATTGAGATGATCACATATTTTTTACCCTTTACTTTGTTAATGTGGTAGAACAGGGGTGAGAGAACTGAAATTCATATCAGGAAGGCAAGACTTAGTGTTTAAAATTTACGAGTGAAAAAAATAAAATTTATGAATAAATTTACAATATGTATGCATTTATAAATATGGAGGTAAAAATGGAAAAGATAGCTAAAAAAATGGACAGTGGTTGTCTCTGGGGAGCAGCCTACTTGGAAACTGATATATTTTAAAAGCCTTTTAAGCCTTGACACTTTAAATATGAGAATTAATATATAATATTAATAACAAATTTAAAAAATTAAAAATGGTTTCTGTGAAGGTGTAAAGATAAGACTGGGGACAAAGGTGTAGGGGAGATGAATTCAGCTTTAGGAATGGGTTATTTTGGTGGGACATCCAGGAGAAGGTATTCCTCATGCAGATGGATATATGTGGCAGGGAAGCAATAGCAGTTGAAAATAAAGGTTTGGAATAAGCATCAGATAAAAGTTTTAAAGCCACAAGAGTAGACAACACAGAACATATATAGCATGAGAAAAGGATCAAGGACAGAATTCTGAGAAAGGCTGGCATATACCAAGAAGGATTTCTTGGTGAGAAGGATTCCAGGAAAGACACAGAGAATTAATTTTCAAGTGGCAGGAAGAGATCCAGAAAAATATGACACAGAAGTCAAGGGATGAAAGTGTTTCATTCCTCCAACATGCTGAATTCCAAAGATTTTGTTTGCCAATTAACATTAGAGCTATAGTTTTCTTTTACAAGTATTTCTCCCTAATTTCACGGAAAATTTTGTTAAGTTAATAAAACCTTAAACAACATAAGTATAATGATGGAAAATAGAGAATGGTGTTACACGTATTTTTTATGTTGCTATTGTGTTCTATTTCAGGAAACATCTGGAACAGAAAGTATGAGGTAAAGAACTTCCATCGCTTATTTCAACTGATGAAAGGGTTCAAGAAGAAAATGATCAACATAAATCTTGTAGACACAAGAGAAAAGTGGTTAAATATCCATGTCACTTAGATGGGACATTTGAAGACAAGAGAGAGGAAAAACTGTAGAAAAATTACTAAAAGCTTTTATTTAACAGAGTACACAAGGTGTGATGATTCAGAAGTAATGAGTCATTTAGAAATAATAAAACTATTAGTTTGCCTGGAAAACACAGGCACTCTCTGGTGGATGACTCAGTATGAAAACTGATCCCAAGAGAAAAATTTAGAGGATCCATAAAACTACTTGTAGGGAAAAAAAGGAGACCTGGAATATTTTATTTGTTGTGTTCACTACAAAAATAGTTGAGAAAATAAATTAAGAAATTTCTTAGGCCCTAGCTGGTTTGGCTTAGTAGATAGAGCGTCAGCCTGCGAACCAAAGGGTCCTGGGTTTGATTCCGGTCAAGGGCATGTACCTTGGTTGCAGGCTCCTCCCTGGCCTGGGCCTTGGTCAGGGCTCATGCAGGAGGCAACCAATCAATGTTTCTCTCACATCGATGTTTCTCTGTCTTTCCCTCTCTCTTCCACTCTCCCTAAAAATCAATGGAAAAATATCCTCGGGTGAGGAGGAGGAGGAGGAGGAGAGAGAGAGAAAGAGAGAGAGAGAGAGAAGAAATTTCTTAGAAGGGAAGATTTTTCTAATCCTCAAAGAAATTATATATATGAATATTGAAAGAATGATTAATGTTTTAGGTTTAGGGCTGTCTTAATGAGACTAAATGTAAAATAAGGACATTTCAGTAGCAGGCTTGATTTGAGCTTATGGAAATTAGAAAGTACTTAAAACTTACTTTTATTTTTACTCCAGTGGAGAAACAGAAAATGTGCCTGAGGTGTAAAGCACCAGGTGGCAGTCGGGAGCTCCTGTCCCAGCTTCAGCTTCTACACTGACCAACTGAGTAAGTTGGTCAAGTCACTTCCCTCACTGGGATTTCACCTTCTCTTCTGGAAAAACAGAATGAAAGATGATGGTTCTGGGATCTAGGGAACATGAGAAAAGCAAAAATTTTTTTCTTGGTTAGAATTTTTAAAAAAAGCTATATTTTACCAGAGAACTATTTTGTATTACTTGATGTGAGAAGCACAATGAACTGGCTATTAATTTTCAATGCATGTAATTTGCAAAGCTACTGGTTGCTCGGAGTATTGGCTCTGAAAGGAACCTTTGGGGGTTAAAATTTTACTATTTTAAACAATTATTACATACCAAAACATCAACACTAGTTGTCTGTCTGCTGGTAGTATTTTAAGTTAATTTAATTCACATATTTTCCTTTTCTAAATCTTTTTCTTATTTTGGAGATACATAAAAATCAAAATACATTCTATATTTAAAAATCATTTGGACAGGTTAGAAATCTTTTAAATATAGAATGTATTTTGATTTTTATGTATCTTCAAAATAAGAAAAAAAATATATATATATATATAAAATGCAGCTTAATAAACTTTTGAGTGCCACTATAAGCCAGGCACTCTTCAAGATGAGCAAACTATAATCAATGACTTTGCCTTAAAGCAGCTTACAACATGAGTGGGCAGAGAAAGAGAATACCTAACTTCTACATCAAAGAAAACATTCCAGAGAAGAAGACTGCCGAGCCCAGTTCTGGAGTAGTGCAGAAGTAGTTGGCCACAAGAAGAAAGGGAAAATGGTTTGTGGACAAAGGGAGCAAAGCAGGAGGTGGCTGGGATGTTCGAGGAGCTGCCAGGAGTTTGGTATTATTCCAGTGTCAAGTGTGAAGAGAGGCTTCTAGGAGCTACAGTTGAAGGAATGGGACAGAGGCAACTTAGCATCAGAGCCCTGAGAAGTTTCAGTGGAGGAAGGAGGGGACAAGGTCAGAATTACTCTGTAGGTGGAGGACAGACATAGACTTGAGGAAGCAAGATCAAAACTAGGTAGGTCAGATAGAAGGCCTCTGTAGAATCCAGAAAAGAATCAATGAGGCTACAGATGAAGGCAGCTCAGGGACTTAAGTGACTAATCCGTGATCACAAATCTATGAGCAAGATCTGAATGTCTTCTATCTTTAAATCCTGTGCTTTTCTACATCCCTGTAAGAACAAATTCTGACTGAAGCTAAAAGATCTTAAATTTATTTTTATTAAGTAAGTTATGGATTTAAAAAATAGACTTTATTTGCCTGGCTAGTGTGGCTCAGAGGTTGAGCATCAACCTATGAACCAGGAGGTCATGGTTAGATTCCAGGTCAGGCACATGCCCAGGTTGTCGGCTCATGCCCAGTAGAGGGCGTGCAGGAGGCAGCCGACAGATGATTCTCATCATTGATGTTTCTCTCTCCCTCTCCCTCTCACTTCCTCTCTCTGAAATCAATAACATTAAAAAAATACTTTATCCATTTATTTATATTAATTACCTATGTTAAGGGCATTACAAAAAACAAGCAAAGCTTGTCTTGTAAGGAACTTATGGATAAAAGAAATGAGACAAAAAAGAATAGATCAATTAATTCAACAGATATTTATCCTCCTCCTGGGCCAGTGGAGATTACATTTTAGTGACAGTTACTTTTAGAACATAATTTTTACATCTTTTCAGGGAACGAGGCTCTTCAGAGCCAACTGGACAATTCTAGAAAATGACCAGGAACCTGGTGTAAAATCAATAGAGCATGGTCAAGGGAAAACTTGCTTGAATGGGATGATAAGAGAACAGGAAAAAAATCCCAAAGGATGGTATGGATGCCAGAAAGCTGCGGAGGGACCTGGAATTGCCTTCAATGTAGCTTAGATTTGACAGCTCAAAGTTGTTTATTTTTTAATCTTAATATAAAAGTAATGACTGCATAAATAAGACATGCCTGGAGAAAGAGAGAGAGAGAGAGAGAGAGAGAGAGAGAGAGAGAGAGAGATGCACAGATCACACCTAGAGATAGTATCAATGTGAACATTTTTGTAAATGTCCTTTCTGGCTTTAAAAACACATAACACAGAGCTGGGGATTTTTGTGAATATCATATATGTGTGTGTGTGTATTAACAAAGTGAGATTTAATTATAACTTATTACTTTCTTTTTCTACTTTCCATGAAAATAAAAATCTACATATCTTGTATACATTGTGTGGATATACCAAATTTACTTATTAAAAAAAATTTACTTATTCAGTCCTCTACAAAGGCACATTAGAGTGTGTAAGTAAGGTGCAGAAAAGAAGCAAGCAGCAAGCAAATGATAAAACTGACTTTAGCTGTGGCAGCATTTTCAATATTCTAAAGGTGGAAAGAGGTAAGACATGTGGAAGCTCTTGAGATTTTAGTGTTCCAGACATAAGATGAATAATGTCTGAATCTGGAATTCTTTGTGGATGAAGAGGAATTTCCAAAAGGGAAACAAAAAAGCTTGCAACCCAACACACACTAAAAATGAAGTAATTTCAAATCTTCACATCTGCAGAACAGATAGAATGTCAAAGAAAGCACTCAGACAACTAAAAACAGTGAGTGGACTGCCAGGGAAAAACCAAGTGTCATTCTAGTGATAATCCACAACCACAGCTTTCCAAGGAAGTGACAGGGATCCCCAAACTGTGTTCTAACAGAAAGTGCACTGAGCCTTTCTTGTGAGATGCTAGGTGGCCTTGAAGACTTCATGTGTCCTCTCTGGGCCTCTGTCCTTTGGCCTGGCTCTGTGAGTTACAAACTGTGCTTGTCAGAGTTCTCTTGGAAGCTGCCAATACTAGGCATTTCCCACTGCACCCAAAATAGCTCTGCTTTTATCTGTTTTATATATTAGATCTCCAAAACATCTTTTATTTGAAAAAAAAAAAAGACAGAGTTTAACAGCTAAAAATATCCTTAAAATCACAGGATTTAAAAAATTATCATTCACCCTTTGGATTATTTGATAACTACAAAGGTAAAAATGTAAATTTATAATGGAGGAATCTGAAAGTCACCACCTTAACACCTTAACAATCAGATTATATGTACCTCTTGATATGATGCAATGTATAGAAGTATCATTTATGGAGTGTTCTTGCCAAAAATATTTAGCTTTAATCAATCTTTTAGTGCTAATGTCCAATTACAGGAAAAACAGGCAATAGAGAAATAAGTTAATCAATACCATGAGGAAACAGAAATTCATGATATGGGTTGTTCTATACGACAATTAGCCTGGTCTCTTCAATAAGACAGTATCGTGAGGGAAAATGTGTGTGGCTACACTGGGAGGAAGAGATGGAAGGAACACCAACTACAAAAGGCTCTGAGGTGGAAGCATGTCTTGAATGTTTTAGCAAGAGTGAGACTAGATTTTGACTTTGAGATGGGAAGCTACTGAAGAATTGTGAACAGAGAAATGTAATGATCTGAATTAATTTTTAATAAGATCATTCTGATTACTGTGATGAGAATAGACTACAGGGAACAAGAGTAGAGAGACCAAATTTACCTGAAATAATCCAGGCAAAAAATGATGCTGGTTTGGAATAAGTGGTAGCAGGGGAAGGATGAGAAGTAGTTAGATACTGGATATGTTTTGAAACAAGAGCCAATGGGACAAACGAGCAGGTTTTGTGGAAAAGAGGGAGGTCAAGGATGAATCTAAGGGTTAGTTTTTTAAAAACTCATTGTTCTGTTTGGTTTTTTGCTTGAACAACTGACTGGAAGAAGAGAACTGATATGAATTGAGACTGGGAAGACAAAAGGAAGAACAGATTTGTTGGTGGCTGAGTAAGTAGTGACAGCAAGAAAGGTCAGTAGTTGTTTTGAGTGTTACTTGTGACATGCGTATTAGACATTCAGGTAAAGATGTACAGAAGGATGTTGGAGAATTGAATATCGACTTTAGGGGAGATAATTGGGCTGACACAATTTTGAGTTATTTTTATAGTCTTGATACTAGATGAGATCACCAAGGGAGGGAAAACAGAAAGAAATATTTATTTTATAATAAATCTTGTTCTATAAGATTCCATATTTCTATAAAGGAATACAAAAAGAAACATGCAAAGGCTGAGCGGGGGTATGTACTCATGCAGAGTAGCCCTAATGGAAATTCCTGTGATGATGAAATATTTATGTATCTGTGACATTCAATAGGTAGCCTCTACCCACATATGGCTATTGAGTACTTGAAATATGGCAGTTGCAACTGAATAACTGAAAATTTAATCAAATAGCTACATGTTGCTAGTGACTACAGTACTGCCCAGTACAGATTTAGAGTTTGGGGAAGAATCCGCAGAGATAGAAAAGAAGTGGCCAGAGAGGGAGGAACTGTGAGACAATTCTCCATGGGTCTCTCATGTTTCTGCACACATTGCAAGTGAGGCATTGACTCACTTGATAGTCATGATATATGATATAATAGTTTTACACTATCTTTTCAAGAAAGTTTGTAAAGCATCTGGCCTGAGTGGCTCAGTTGGTTCAATGTACCGTGTACCAAAAGGTTGCTGGTTCAATTCCCAGTCAGGGCACACACCTAAGTTGCAAGTTTGATCCCCCGTAAGGGAGTGTACGAAAGGCAACAGATCGATGTTTCTCTCTTTCTCTCTCTCTCCTCCCTTCCTCTCTCTAAGTATGTCTTTGGGTGAAGATTAAAAAAAGAAGAAGAATGTTGTATAGCAACAACCTTGAAAGACTTGGTAGTATCTCCCTCTGGAGCACAAGATCACTGTCTAGTATGATAATGTTCCCCTCTGGAACAAAGAGATGGCATGCCCATTATAAAAGGTTTTGGTTCTCTCAGACTGGCTTCCTTTCTAATAATACAACCCATCATGTGTGCAAGTGCAAACTAGCTCCCTTCACATTGCCTTGAAGGTAACTGGACTCAGAGAACCAGTACAAAACACTGTTGCTATGGCCACTGCTACTGCTGTTAAGTAATAAACTATCTTTTGTCCCTGATCCAGAAGACTTGTGTCTTCCACCAACATACATGAACTGTGGCAGGCTAACTTGTTAGCTTACAAAAGCAACATTACGAGTCTGCTTGAGGTTACATCATTAA